CTCACAGATCTTTGTTACACTCTTCCCCTTTTCTCTTTAGATCGGTATACATTTAATCGGTTCTTATATTTAAGACTATCTTAAGTATACAGTCTTAAGATGCCACGGATCAATCAAAGGATCGTATTATCCTAAGATATCACTTAAGACGGTCTTGTAATAAGAATTAACCGACTATGGATACCGCTCGTAGTCATTACGATCTCAGCAAACGAGAATGGATTAAAATGGATTGAAAATTTTTTCCGAATTGCGTATTTAAATAGGGAACACTTTTTTTGGATTTAATTGGATTCAATTGGATTCAATTAGATTCAATTTGATGCAGTTTGGATTGAAAAACTGCATTTCCTATTCAAAATTTTGAACAGTATTCACAATGCACAGCTAATATTGTTTTCGGATTGAAAAGCATAGAGATATGCTCCATGCAATTCCTATAAATGAATAAAAATGCGTTCAGGATTGAAAAGTATTCATTTTAACATTCGTGAAATCAATTTTATTTCTGAAAATCTGAATCCATTTCAATTCATTCTCGTTTGCTGGGATCTCATTTGTCACTTAAAAATAAATTACTCATAAGTGACAAATTAAATAAGGTCTGATGATGTTCTTATGATATTTGGTGCTCTCTCCAGCAAGAAACTGCACAGTGTAACACAGCTAGTGATCTTTTGTTTAACATTTCACTTTTCGTTTAACATTAGCAAACAACAAAGATGTAATGATTCACTGTGTCTCTCTTGCTGGAAAGTACCTTATTATATCATTATATCACTCAAGGTAAAAATTACAAAAGTGAACAAATTTATTACGTATCGTTCAATGAAATTATGTAATAAATATATTCACTTACTTTTACTACTCTGCTGTAACCGCAGAGTAGTAAAAAAACTAGGAAGTATAATAATGCGTTTCATCTGGATCGATTTGTTATTATTAAAGATCGATTTGCTATTATTAAAGATCGGTTTGTCCTCTTATTAAAGATCTCCACAATTACAATATATTTTCTTATTGACTTTTAACTATACAGACTCCTACATAAATTTTCACCTCATTTTATGATACATGAATCGACTCCCGTTCTTTGTTCCCTGTTCCCTATTCATTTCTTTAATTACGCGCAGCTCCCTTCGCGTTTTATTCTCGCAAAAGAAAAAACTGTAAGCCTAGATCTTGCGAATAAACAGTTACGCTTCCCTCCCGTCGAGGATGACGCTCTAAAGGTGATTAATGCGATGCGGTTAAGATATTGTCTCGTTCGAGAATCCCAGGGATTCTTCCGCCATTGGCGCATTATATCGTAAAAGCTTTTTTTTTTTTTTTTTTTTTTTTTTCATTCAATGCTAATGCTGATTAATTTTCACTTAATAGGCGCTAAAACGCGCGTTCCATTCGCGCCGCGAGTCTTTCGCTCTCTCAAGAGTCACGTTATTTCAAGCGGCCATCTGCGCCCCGGCGGGGAGACTGTTCCGGCTTTTGCTTGACGTTTCACGCCGTACAAGTGTTTATCTGTCAACGCGATAACTGCGGACGCGACACTTCGAACGATCGTTAAAATTCCACCAATTTGTCGCCGCTTAAGGATATACTGCAAACGAGACCTTCATATCTATATCATGCAATGGGATACGCGAAAATGTACGTGTATACCAAAATTTACGCGAGCCGTTTTGGAGTCCCAATGCGACACACAAAAG